TGTCCAAGGGTAGCCCCTTGAGGGAGCCACAGATGCACAAGAGAATTTAAATCCACTCAGGAGATAAAATGTGTACTCGCCAAATAGTTACGTGGCAACCCATAGCAACATCTGGTTAAATACGTACTGGATGTAGCTTGCGTTTTATTAAGTTCAGCGGGGGTGGGGGGAAGGTGTTTGGAAACCTGGGAAAGGTGTGGGAGATTTGATGGCTGAATCGCAAATCAGAAGGGTTGTGATGAGTCAGGAAGGTCTTAGAGTTGGGGGGAGAGTAAAGAACGGCAGGTGGACAAAATAAAGGTGGCTGGGACAGAGTGGGAGCATGAGTTTGATACCAACTGAAGACGTGTGCTGGGTGGATAAGTAATGAATATGATGGGAGCAGAATGGTTGATAACTTAAGCGTCAAGCCAAAGAACGTGACTTTAACCTCTCAGTGTATTTTAGCCGTGCTTGACCAATGGGGAAGCCTTCGTGAGGAAAGGCTAAGGGGAGAAAAGGAAGTGAGATCAACTAAAAGACGTGGACAGAAATGTGGTTGAGGGTGAAACGTGCTGTCTAGGCTGGGTTCTTGAGTAAAGCCAAACCAGTAGAGTGAGTGAGTGAGTGAGTGAGTGAGTGAGAGAGACAGAGAGTGAGACTCATTTCAACTACATGGCTTCCGTTGTTGTAGGGTCTAGAAAGTTCCAAATCTGTGTATCAGGCATCAGAATGGATAGTCTTCACGTAGGTGGTTGTAGGGGCTGGTGATCCCACAGTCCATAGATCTGAGGACAGGCCATGCGTGGGCTCATGGGGCTGCACAAGCTGGGGAATCTAGGAATGAGCAGGCCAGAGGATGATGAGCCGGATGCAGAGTCTAGAGCAGGGGTCCTCAAGCTACAGCCCGCGGCCCACATGCGGCCCGCCGGGTGTTTTTGCTGTCACTGCCTGTCCTGCTTAGCAGCTGACTCATCCAGTGTGCATAATGAATTTGTTCATAGTTTTTTAAACTATAGTCTGGCCCTCCAGCAGTCTGAGGGACAGTGAACTGGCCCCCTGTTTAAAAATTTTGAGGACCCCTGGTCTAGAGCAAGCAAGACACTTGCGACCATGTGCTCACTTGTAGGCAAGTCACACCTAGAAAACTCCCTTTCCATCACTAAGAGGGCGGCTCAAGTAAGGTTGTTGGGAATGGAGTCACACCTTCTTGTAAAGGTGTGACTCATGATAAAGTCATGCTCATCCAGCCTCATTAAAGCATCCTTGTTTGGGTGCATAACACATAAATTAGGAGACAACTACATCCGGTCACAAAGGCGTAGGATAATTGTATCAGATCACCTAATGGAGACAACCACCCGAACCTGGGAATCATGATCTAGCAAGTTGACACACAGCTTGAGCCACTCCATTGGCTTAGAGTAAAACTCACAGTAAAACACTTTGCCACCAAGACTCTTGTGTCAGGTCTGCCTGCTGCTAAAATGAAAAACAAACAAACAAAAAGAACAGAGTCTTCAAAATGTTTGAATTGGGGATCTCTTTTTAATTTTTCTTTCAAACAGGTAGCACATGCTAAAATCCAGACCTTAGAATCAAACCTGGAAAATCTTTTGACCAGAGAGACCAAAATGAAGTCTTTAATCCGGACCCTGGAACAGGAGAAAATGGCCTATCAGAAGACAGTGGAGCAAATCCGCAAGCTGCTGCCAGCAGATGCGCTGGCCAGTTGTGAGGTGCTGCTGAGAGACCTCAACTTCAACCCTAACAACAAAGCCAAGACGGGAATTAAGCCATAATTAAGAAGTGTCCCCGCCGGAGTGAGCGCTATGGAGCACACGGTGGAAAGGGAGAGGCTGGGTGCTGCTGGCTGAGCGCTGGACCCCAAAGCTGATGGACCTCCTCCAAGCCTGCTGAGCACCGCACCCCAGCCCGCAGACTCCTGTCCTCCCGGAGGCCGCAGACTCACAGCATTGTACAGACGCAGCTACCTGGGAGTGGGGGTGGCGGTATTAACAGCTATGTACATATATTCAAAAAGTACATAAAGGGTTCATGCTTTATAAGTGAAAGAGCAGATGTATATTTAGAGCTTTTTTTTTGTAGTCAGAACTTCTAGACACACATCAGATCTTTTTCTTTTTGGTTCTTTCTTGTGAGACAAAACTAGAGCCTCTTTGTATTATTGAATTATACTTGAAAAAAAAAAAGTATTTTTTCTCTCCAAAGAACAGCGGCACGCTTCACTCAGTAGTGGAGACAGGCAGTGGGGAACATGCCCTGCCTTTATGTGTACCTGTCCTGTGCTCTGACGAGGACCTCGGCTGCCTGGCAGTCACACTCCTCTGGGAATTTCAGGAAGGACCGCCGGGAGCCTGGCTCCCCTGCTTGCCTCTTGCCAATTAGCATGCTGCAGACCCACATGCATTTGGAATCTGGGGAGTCTTTCCATAAGGGCGTGTGGGAGGAGATGCCAAGGCACACAGCCTGAGTTCAAGGCCAGCGTTCCTACTTTGCTAGCAAATTCTACTAGCCTTATTCCTCAAACCCAAATAATCAGGCCTAAAACATTTCATTTAGGAGCCCAGTCGCCAAGGTTCTCCTTCTGCCTTCCACAAAGCATGAGAAAATGTTGTCATTATGCTTGGATTTCTAATGATGACACGCCTTTTATTGTTGTCTCTCTGTGTGTGTCCCCTGCCCCTGGCCAATGGAAAGGGGTCACTGAGCTCTCACTAAATTTCCTGTTGATGTGAAAATGTCCAGCAACTGTGAAGTGTTGAAGAGCAAACTCTGTCGAACTCTTGTTGGAAGAGAAAGGGAGAGGCGCTGAGCTCGGGTGAAGCCTGAGATTCAGCATTTAGTTTCCCCCGACCTTCAGGCCCCAGGGAGCCAACTAGAGGCCTTTCACGCACACTGGCTGGGTGGAAGGATCGCGCTTATGGAAGTGCACATACGGCGATCTCTTTTCTAGATGAGTCCGTCACCGTGCCTCTGCAAGCCGATGTTCCTTTTCTCCCCACCCCCCCCCTTTTTTTGCCTTTCCAAACAATTCTTATCATCCCTGCATTTTTGCAGCACCTGTATTATTACAGGTGGACTATTTGAATGAGAATTTCTTCCTAGGGAGTTTGTCCTACAACAAGTTGAAATTTATTAGAGTGGGCAAGTGAAACCCCCAGACACGCGGAAAACCCAAAACCACCTTGAAACTGTTGCTCAGCGTGCATGTCGTGAATCTTGTGACAAGGACCAGGCCCTCTAAGGCAGGCTGGTTTTGTCATCCTTTAAAAAAAAATTAAGATAGTAAAGTCTTAGTTAATGTAACATCTAGGTTCTAGTTCAATAACAAGAAAATGCTGATTCTAGGTACCTCATTCAATCGGGGCCCCCAGAATTATTTGTTGATACCATTTCCTGAGTTTTTCTCCATTTGTAGAAGGCTTGTTTCTTCCCTACCAGGACTCTAACCGTATCATACAGTTGCTGTCGGGTGATGATAATTGCCTTTGGTGTGTGGTGTACCGGTGGTGGTTAAGGAATCTCCCAGCTCGGCAAAGACACCTGTTTCTCTCTGTTGCTGAGTTTAAAGTAAACTTTGTACTGGAATATTTAGAGTCAGCATTATGAGTTGCACAATCATGTTCAGGGATGGATGTTAACTTGGCTACAATATTTTCTTTTGAAAATGAATTTTCTTTTTTTTTTTCTGTGATTTTTTTCAAAAAAAGTGTTGCACCAATTGCCCTTCATGCATTGTTAAACTCTTCATGAGGTTAATATAACATTGAGTTTATTTCCAATAAATATATTGCTGCCATTTCCTTGGCTTACTGGTTTCATTTTTTTATTTGCTAGAAGGAGGGGAGATGTTTTGATCAAAGACTTTTACGGGATGTGTTAGAGTTGGATTGTTGCTCAGAGATAATTCGTCATAAAGGAATCTGAGACAATGGAAATCATTGTAAGAGAACTTTTATAAAACGAGAGAGCAACCACACAGATAAATTGCCTTCTGACCCCTGATGGATGACAAGGAAGAGAGAGAAGACTGCTTCAAATTGAATTGGCTCCCATCTAAGTAAGAATTCAATCCTGACGGTGCCTCCGGCCCAGGCATCATTTTGTTCTGTTGTACATAAGGACACTCGGACTTGGAGCTAAATCAATGGCAAACATCACTCGCACCAATTAGGATCAAAGATGCTTGTTACTGGTAGATATGATACAAGTGTGCTTACATACATGTATCTTTCAGAATATCTTTAAGTATGTTTGTGATCAAAAGGGTTCTAGAGCATCATTGCTTTTGCCTTCTGAAAGGTTGTAGCCTCAACAACTCTATGAAGCGGATCTACTCTGCACACCAAGGGGAGTTGCCATCCACTTAAAGGCAACTAACAATCCTAACCCTGTATAGTAATGAAAGGTTTTGAGAAAAGCCATGTCGGTTATCCATGTTGACTTACCCCTTTCCTCGCTGTTTGACCAGGTCTTTTTCACCCTTACTCGATTGTTGGCACTAGGTGCTCTCCAGTTGGTTCAGACTCAGAGTGACCCCCCCTCCCAAGTATAACAGAATGAAGCACAACCCAATCCTGTACCAACCTCACCAGTGTTGGAATCCATTGTGTTGCCACCATTGGGCCCATCCATTTCCTCGATCCAAAGGACGTGAGACGAAGTCTCACCAACCTTTGTTCAAGGGAGCATTCTGGTAGTACTTCTTCCAGGATACTTTGCTTGTTCTCCTATAGAACTTTCAATATTCTTTGACAGCACCATAGTTCAAATACATCGATTCCTCTTTGGTCTTCTTTATTCAGTGTCCAAAGTTCACATGTATATGAGGCAATCGATTTGGAGTATGAAATGTATCATTCGATGGCATATAGTAGGTAATGCTCTAGCTTAATGTTCTCCTCACTAGTGAAAATAAATTGAAAAAAGCTATGGATTTTGAGGAGGAGACTTCCTCCTCTACTTGAGTTTTGGTTCCACCACTTTTATTAAAACATTTTTTTCCACTTTCATTCTTTCACAAAATTCCCTGCCATGGAGTCAGTTCTGACTCATCGCGGCTATAGGACAGAGTAGAGCTGCCCCTGTTGATTTCCAAGCCTGCAATGTTTATAGGAGCAGACAGCCTCATCATTGTCTCCAGAGCCGCTGGTGAGTTCAAACTAATAGCCTTGTGATTAGCAGCCAGTTTATAACCCGCTGCACCATGAGACCTATTTTATTCCAAAGTAGGAGATGAATATTCAGAGATAGAAGGGATCTCATCTTTGTCCTTAAATAATTTGTGGTGTAGTGTAAAGATAATTAGAAACCTGGAAAGTTTCGGTTAGAACAGGTAAGCACAGGTGGCTAGGTGCTAGAGAGTGGAATCAACTCAGCATGGGTGTCAAAGTGTTTCTGGAAGCAGAAGGATGCGAGCTCTGTGTCTAGGAGAACCAGCCAAGGTTGACAACATCATATAAAGTAGTGCATGAATGAGGATAGCATATTTCTGTAATCATAACCCATTCTTTAAACCTGAAGTATAGCTAGTGTTCTCATGAGGAGGGAGTGGATATGAGTTTCTTGGCAGCTAAAAATTCCATCATGAAAATCTCTATACACTAGCATTTCCAAACGTGGGGGCTACCATCCTCTAGGGCAGTGGTTCTCAACCTTCCTAATGCCGTGACCCTTTAAAGCAGTTCTTCATGTGGTGACCCCCCAACCATAAAATTATTTTCGTTGCTACTTCATAACGGTAATTTTGCTACTATTAAGAATCAGGTGACCCCTGTGAAAGGATTGCCCGACTCCCAAAGGGGTTGTGACCCACAGGTTGAGAACCGCTGCTCTAGAACAGATACCTACACTTTATGCCAGATGATGGATTACAATACAAAAGTTTTTAATTGCCAGAGGATGCGGGTTAATTCTTTTTCTAAAAAGGAGACGTTAGGCCAAATAAAGACATTTATGTGACCATGTGAAGGAGTCTGAACATACCTAGAGGACAATGGGAGCCATTTGACCCTTATAACCTGGGGAAAGGTGTGATCCGATTGACTCCAAACCATTTTGTACATTTGGACAAAAACTAGGGAATAGGAAACGCCAGTTAGGTGAATATAATAAAAACATAGACATTTAATTTTATTTTTGTGAGTGAGCCTGATGCAGGGCATTGGGTGGCCTTTGGGAGGAGAGGCAGCTGTGGCTTCATTATCTCTGATGTAATCAGTCACTGAAACCTCTGAATTTTGCCCTCAAAATATGTCAAGGCTCTATTGGGTTAAATTCCAAACCTCTTCCACTCTCAGAAAAAGCTCTGAAGCAATATATGTGGAGCAGCCTGAATTTGTCAGCAGAAGTCTAACATGAATGGCTCAGTTGAAGAGAGGTGAATTCTCTAGCCTAAAGAGAATCAACTAGGAGGAAAACAGTGGGAGAGATAGTGGGGAGGGTGGGGTGTGTGTGGGGGTGTTTCTAATGATACCTTGGTTTACATTAGTTACCTATTCTTCCTGCAATCTACCTGTGACACCCCGTCTAAGATCCCAGGCCGAACAACAGATAGTTCAAGTTAATTCTGTTCTGACTCATGGTCCTCTCTTGTCCACACAACCACCGGGGTGTTTGGGTCCAATGCTGCAACTGTTATGACCCCATCTCACTCGGTTGGGTCTCTCTCACCCAACTGGGCTCTTCTTCACCAAATTGATGTCCTTCCCCAGGAAATGAGCCCTTCTGCTGATATGTCCAAAGCCAGTAAGTTGGACGGTGTTCCACTAAGGTTTATAAAGTTTTATTGGTTAATTTTTAGAAACAGATGATCAGACCTTTTCTTTTCTTCCTAGTATGTCTTGGTCTGGAAGCATGGCTGAAACCTGTCTCCCATGGATTACCTGCTGGTATAAGATATACAGGCCGGTAGCTTCCAGTGTCCCAGCAGCACATGAGCCAACGCAGTGTGGCACAGTGACAGATGAGATGGGTGGTGAGAAAGGGATGAGGCTAATTATAAAAGGTTCAGTATTCAAAACCATGCAGTGGTTCTGTTTTCCTACAGACCCTTAAAGCAGATTCTGATCATCAGCATCAGTTTATGCGCATCAGTTCTTCTGCGTTCATGGAGGAGAAAGTAGTGTGTGGTTTGTGTGTGGATGAAACCACGCATCTGAGCCTTAAGGCCCCGGGGTAAATGGCCTCTGGGTGATTTCCTTTCTTTCCCTTTTCGTGATATGTAAACAACTCCAGAGCATAGAGATCTGAAGTTGGACAGGCCGATCGTTTTTTAAAAAAATCGTAATGTTGTTTTAGCAGTCACATGAAAAAGAGTATTTTTCTCCCCCTAGGTCTGATGCAACTGCTGTTGAATATATTGAGTTTTCTTTCACAATGGAAAAGTCCTCGGAGGGCCCATGTGGCTTCGTGTGAGTTAATTTGCAAGTTCACAAATCGTATTTTCAGCAGGACATGCTGTTATGCAGAAATAATCATTTCTACCAAACATGCATCTACTGTGATGTGTCCAGGAAGTCTCAGAGGGTTTTCCAAAGCAAAACAAGGACATTTCTTACATGGACTCTTACTAACTTGGGTATATTTGATTTTCTTTAACATGTAGATTATAGTTTTCCTAACAAACAACGAATCTGTTTCAGTCCCTTTCATCATGTGCTTTTCGAAACAATTTAATGAGATAAAGAAGAGTTTTTTCCTCAGGTGACAAATGAGAACACTAAAACCCCACACCTATTACATGGTGAATTGAGGGCGCCATGGCCAGAGTCCACTGCCAACCTGTTTGTCTCATGATTGCGCTGTGCGTGTGGGGTGTAGATGCTCTTGGTCAAGTTACTTCCAGATTGATGAACATGACATCATCTCCAAGCCTCAGAAAGTCTTGTAATGTGGTTGCTTTTGCACATGTCCAAGGTAAGAATGCTTTTCTTGTCGGTTTGACTGAGATAAGCAATTCAGGAATGAGTCAGAAGGGAAAAGAGGGGGAAGCGATTGGGGTGGGAAGGATGGGGCATAGATTCTTCTAGTCTCTCTTGATCTGTGCTGTGCAAAAGTTATGATAAAGAGTTCGTGATTCTCTTCCTGCATTCCGGCATTCCTAAACAAATGGATACCATTTAGGAACTTTCTTCTTCCTTGGAGCCTGGGTACAATGAGTTCATGAAATGCCAGTTGACATTCCGATGGGTTTCTATTAAAGGTGAGGGAAAAATCCTTGGATAGTGTGTTAGGCCAGGTTGTCTAGAGATACAATCCAGTGACACTCATATATAGGTAAGAGAGAACTTTATACCAAGTAGTTATATATCAGGAAAACATTGCAGCCCAGTCCAGATCAAGTCCGTAAGTCCGGTACTAGGCCATGAATCCCTCTTCAGACTCATGAAGTCACAAACCATGGTGCAAGATGCAGGAAGATCACCAGCCGGTGGGTGAAAAGTCCTGTGGGTCAATGGCGGTAGAAGCATCTCCAGGGCTTGCACTGGTCTCCACGTGGAGGCAACAGGAAGGTGAAGGCGGGGAGAGAGAGAGGGAAGGTCCCAGGATCCTCCTTATGAGGAGGTCACGCCCACAAGGAGGCAGCCTCAGCTGTGATCTGATTGACAGGTTAGACTCCCTACACTTCAAGTTGACATGAAATTATGTAACTACCACAGATAGGAATCACCAGCCTGTGCCATCGCCCACAAAAGAACATAAAGTGATTCCAACCTATGACCTTTGAAGGAAGCAACAGAGGAGAAACACTCCCTTGTCCTCCAGCTCTCTTCCCCATCCTCCATCTAGCTCTGGGCT